TTGAGCTCTAGAGCGCCCCATCAGGATGAAACTGGAATCACACTCATCTCAGAGCATGAACTATGTAGACCTTGTCTTTTTAAATTTATATTTATTTTTTATTAGTAATGTTTTCATTCCTTATGGTGGGGGGCGGTGCATGTACATAACACAGCTTAACTCCTTTTTTATCCCCTTCCGTTCTCCCCTTCTCTCTCCATCTCTTGGTTCCTTCCCCTTTGAGAAAGATCTGTTACCATTTCCTGTTACCTATCTGTTATTTTGCTCTTTATTCATACATTGATTTCCCATATAAGAGAAGCCATGTGATATTTAAGCTGTGTCAAGTGATTTATTTTATTTAACATTATGGTCTCAAGGGGCATCCATTGTCATATAAACAATTCAATTTATCCTTCTTCACAGCAGAGTAGTGCTCCATGGTACAAATACAATATTTTCTTTACCCACCTGCCTGCTGATAGACATGCAGGTGGCTTCCAGGACTTAACTCTATGAATTGTGCTCTTTCTGCCTTAACATGCTTCCCTCACTTGCCTACTCTTTTACAAGCATCTGCTAAGAGTTTATCTTCGATACATATGTAAGAATCTCCATGCTATGCTGTTCAAGCAAAGACAACCTGAGAACCCAAGTGGGAAATCCTGTGCTTCCTTCTCTAGATAAAGTAGCAAATGGCAACTGTGCAGCCGTGCCCTAAAGCATTGCCCTGCAAGCTGTAGCAGTGCAGGAAAAAAGCAACATTACATCATTTAGGTGACAGCTGAGGGAGGAGGGGGTAAGGATGAGCAAAAGAGACCTCACGAGGCCAAATCTTCTGGAGAGGGTCTTGAAGCCCAGCCCCTGCTTCTTTAAAGCTGTGGGCAGAAAGAGACACCTTCTTGTCTCTTTCCAAAAGCATCCGCTGAGTCCAGACCACTCTGCCCTGTCTTGGGACATGAGTGGGAGATCAGAATTACCCATCCCCATCCCCAGTAGCCATCCTGGAGGCTCAGCTCGTTTGGATTCTGGGGACAGAGGACCTCAATCCCATCTCACTCCTGAGAAGCAGATCCGGCTGCCTGTCCTTCTCTGTGTCTACTTGCAGTGAGCAGAATAAGGACAGAGCTGAGGATGGGTGTCCCCCCACTCAGTTTAGTGCCAAGTGTCTTGGGCATGTCACCTGCAGGAGGGGACAGAAGAGGTGTTCACCAAGAGCGTCATGCCCCAGTGGGCCTGTGCCTTCCCTGCTAGGTCCTGTGTGTGGCGGGTAGATCCACTTGAGGGTCTCATTGGCTGTGTTACCAGCATCGCTGCCATGTTTGACCTAAAGTGCCCCCACAAGCCTCATGTGTTCAAAGGTGGGACTTTGGAAGGTGATTGTATGTATGATGGCAGATTTATCCTGGACAAGTTCTTAGCTGACTGTGCTTTTAAAGGAATAGAACCCTGTTAAAGAAGGTCACTAGGGACATGACCTCAAAGGTATGCTCTTGGCCATGGTTCACTTATACTCTACCTGTTTCCTGGCTGCCATGATATGAGCAGTTTTTCTCGCCACCATGTTCCCACCTTGGAGCCAGCCATGGACTTAAATGCCTAAAACCGTGAGCCCAAATAACCCTCCTCATTCAGCTCTGCATGCCAGGCATTCTGTCCCAGAAGCTGGAAGAAGACTAATACAGTGGACCTGGTGGACACTGAGGATAAGGACTTCCTTTCCTCACTCAGGGGTGACAGTAATCATCACAGGCACTGGCATAACAAGGGATGCGTTCCAGATACAGATCTAGATGCGGATGACTATTTGCATCATAATATGACCATGCCTTGGTTTATCCCATAAATGTTATACATAACAATCATTGGACTTTTTGTGCTCTCTTCCTTGTTAGATTGCAAGCTTAATGAAGGAAAGTGCTATTCATTTTATTCATTTTCCTGTAGAGACCTCCCCTGTTGTAATTCTAGAACAATGAAATTTTGGCTCCTCAACACCTAAAGTTCGACCACTAGAAAGTCATTTTTGTGACCTATATTTGAGTTGTTTTAAACTGAAAATGCCCACAAAAAGAATACCCAATCAAGTATTTCTAGTTGTTTATTCTTAAACCAGGTAAGCTGATAGGTTCTACTCTGACATCAGAATTTGAGAGGAAGGAAAGAAAGAAGAACAGAGACATAGGCGAGTACCCAACGCAAGGATCAGAAGAAACAAATGTCATCAAGAGAGGAGGGGAGCACAGGAAGGAGATGCGGTGCTGGCCGAACAACCTACCCACCCCGTGAGTCCTGCTGTTTCCAGAGTGCCCTGGCCCCGCCATTCCCGTATTAAGCTCAGCGTCTTGGCCAAGGTTTTCTGAGACCTGGGCTCCCCCTCCTAACCTTTGCTCCCCACCCACTGGGAGATGATGCACAGGGTGGGGCCTGGGGCATGAGTTGCAGTTGGTCTGTCTGCCTGTGCCCTCTGCAGTCCTGAGTCCCCAGCACCCCCATACTTCTCCCACGGGGACTCCAGGCTTCCATGCAAACCAGGCCGCTGGGGTCCTTCCTACTATCTACTGTTCTGATGCTTTCATTTCTAAGAACAAAGGCTCTCCTCCTCCCTCACCCCACCCCTGTCCCTTCAAAGGACACCACGTGTAGCAGCAACAGAAGCACATCTTGGTATCATTTCTGATATCCATAGGTTTGGGTAATCAGTCACGGGGTTTTGTTCCAGGCAAAAAGCAATATTCTTTGACAAATAAGCCACTTGCCAAGCAGTCGAGATGACATTGCAAAGAGTGACATTACAAACCTACGTGCCTGCTTCCCTGCCCCTTCTCCCTGGGAAGCTACGAATGCCCCAGATAAAGAGAGCAGCTCTCCTGTGACCAAGCCTGCACTGTATAAACAGCCTCAGGAAAGGTGGCCTTGCTCTGTCCCTCTGGCCCAGAGGGACAACAGGCTCCCTCGCCTGCTCCTGTAGTCTTCCTAACTGGCTTCCAGCCCTAAAGGTTTCCCCTCTTGCTACCAATGTCTCTCTGTCCTGGAACCCCGAGGCCGCGGGCAGGCAGGGTGTTCTCCGGAGACAGATGTCTGCACCAGCAGGGGGAAAGAAAGGTCTGTTTCTTATTGACGGAACAAGCATGTGTCACAGAACTTCAAAGATACGAAGCCAGATTGGGCAGGCAACATCAAACGCCGGTGACTGGCGCTCAGGAAACTTTGTATTCTGACACACAAGTTCTTATCTATTCTGCTCCAGACTTGAGAGCGGGAGGCTGCATCTAACCAAATCTCATTGTTTTCCCTCCCAGCTGCCAACTTGGAAAAATATCAGGGCACAAAGGGACCATTAAAAAAAAAAAAAAAAAAAAAAAAAACAGAAAGAAAGAGAGAGAAAGGGAGACATGTTTTTGTTAGTTTCTAAGCAACACAGCATGGCCAAGATGGAAGCTTTTAGGCAAATGAGGAGACAGAGGCTGCGCTGTCTGCAGAGGCCATCGGCGAATCCCAATCTTTACCTTTTTAGAAAGAAATGAACAGTGTGTACGTGGATACAGCCCTTGTCTCCCCCACCCTCCGTACCTCATCAGCAAGTCCCTGCTTCTTTGATAAGGAGTCACTTTTAATGAGGCCAAATCAATGCTTAATGATATCTAACCTCAAACAATGAAGCTATTTCCTGATTAAAAAAAAAACACTAAATTCATTTATGTTTCAAATTGTTTAAAGGACTTATAATTCACTTTGGATTACCTGCTTTTTCCATTATTAGAAAAAAGAAAGGCTTTAAAATGTGTTTCATTTCGGTGTAACTGGCCCATAATGACATCTCCTGAGTCTGGGGACCAGAGAGCATCAGAGCGGCCACCTCTCCTTCAAAGCCCCGCGTGAGGCTGTTTCACCGGGCCCGTGAAGGAAATTGGTCATAAGCCTGGGAGTTTCCTCTTGCATCAGGAACACATTTATTTAATCAGTGGGTCCTGTCGAGGGTCTCGTGTGTGCGATCTGGGATTTGCATGAAGCAGAGAGCGCTGCCCGCCAGCGTCTCCAGCCTGAAAGTCACCGCTCCACCTACAGCCCCAGCCCAGCCCGGACTGCCTCTGGCCTGTCTGCATGCCCTAGAGACAGATGGGTGCTGTCCTCAACCGGAGAACCCTCAAAAAGCCTCGAGGTCACTGTGAGGCCTCCCAGCCTGTGGGCAGAACAGCAGCCCCAGAGCCCTGCTGGTCTAAGAGCAGCCCAGGGCTCAGCAGCTTGGGCATCTCCAGAAATACAGGTTCGCAGGCCCCACCCTGGAACCACCTTGGCTGGAACAGGATCTTCACACTCCAACCCCGAGATTCCAGGGGTTGTGTCTCAGATGTGGGATTCTGCTGTGTCCAGAGTCTAAGGGGCAGCAGTTTCTGCTCAAAGCATCCACCTTTGGAGTCAGAGAGAGGTGCGAAAGGGATCAGGACCTGGTGCCTTCATAGGGTCCTTGGCCCAGAAAGCTCTGTTCCTCTCTTCTCTCTGCTCCCCAAGCTCTGTGATCTAGGCTTGTGAAAGCATGGCTTGCCTCTGACACCCAAGGCTCTTTCAGCCTCCTATCACACCCAGATTGTAATCCCTTCCAGACCTAAGTTCCCTAAGCCGAGAGGTCATAGCTGTCCCGTCCCCACCAGAGGCTGGCTATGTTCCCTGTGTGTGGATAAGACAATAAAAATTATTTGAAGGTACGAGGCATATGGGTCAGTGATGGTGGAGCACCTCCCTATGTGTGAGTGACTGGGTTTAAGCCCCAGCACAGAAAGGAAGAAAGGAAAAAAGTAGGGAAGGAAGGAAGGAAGGAAGGAAGGAAGGAAGGAAGGAAGGAAGGAAGGAAAATAGACTGACATAGTCAAATTGAAGCCATTCTCACAAATTCTTTTCAATGCCATTTGTAAAAAATCCTTCCATTATACAGATTGAGGCAAGGCAAAGACAGGTCTATCTATTTAATATTAGTCTGTAAAGGCCACATCTTTGCAGGCAAAAAGTAAAGCTGTGGGAAGCCGCCTATGATGGCGCCCATTTCCTGCTTCCGGGTTCTTCCCGGCCTGAACAAGCCCGCCAAATTGTCATATCTGCCCAGTTACCCGTGACGCTAGCCTATCAGCTTGTTAGGCGCGCTTCTCTGTGATTGGATACTGCTTCCCCTTATAAGAGGTTGTTCCTGCCCCCAACGGGCGGAAGAGGAACCAACGTTGAGGGTGGCGGACCTTGTCAGGTCCGGTTCGCTGTACGTAATAAAGTTTGAGAGCTGATCCTGCTCGAGTTTGGTCTCCTGTCTCCCGCGGCTCCGGTCATCTGGTGGCCCCCGTACGGGGAAAAAGGTAAAAGACTCAGTGATGTGCCTCTTCGGCCGGGAGGTGCGATTGCTGTCGCCTGCGGTACGACGGAGGACCTGGCCCAATAACAACGGAAGGCCGCGAGCACCTCTTCTCTTCACCCTGATCAGCTACGTGAGATACAGCGGTTCCCGGGACAGGTGAGTACTGGGTCACCTGGGTTGGGTGGACGCACCTAACAGATTTGGAGCGCCACACGAGTGGACGCCGGTTTTTTTTTTTTTTTTTCTCTTTTCTTTTCCCTTTGCATCTGTTTTGCTTTCGCTTCGCTAATACAGCCCGACAGGCTTTTGAGCTCGATCGGAATGCTCAGAGGAGCCCGGAGCCACTGCCGATTGTGGGTCTCCGGAGGACCCTCAGGGCTCTAATTCTGATTCGGATTTGGAAGGCTCAGAAGAGGAGGTCGTCTTTGCTAAGCATGACCCTCCTACACCGTTAAAAGAGGAACTTAGGGCTCGGGAAGATAAAAAGGGGAACCAAACACCACCCTGCCCGAGCTACTCCGCCTTACGGGAGGAGCTTAAGCCCTTCCGCCCTTTGGCAAGTTCGCGACCCATGGTCGCCCCCTTCAGGGCGCCAGGCCCCACGGCACCGCCCTGGTTAGAGGGAGAGCTACTTCCTGGGTTGCCTTCTGCGCCCCCATCTGGGGAGGGAGGAGGACGTTCCTTCTACCAGAGGGTATGGTCGCGGCTTCCCTTTGAGTGTTCCGGTCTCCATGCATTCCCGGTACAAGTAGGAGGCAGGGGAGGAGGAGGATATTATGAGCCCTTAGAAATTAAACAACTTAAAGCTATCAAGGACGCAGTTTCAGCTTATGGGCCCAATGCGCCATTTACCATGGCGCTTTTAGAGGCATTGGCAGGTCTGCTTTTAACTCCTGGAGATTGGACCCAGCTGGCACACGCCTGCCTCTCCCCCGGACAATATTTAGATTGGAAGTCCTGGAATGAGGAATTCTGTGTAGAGCAGGCGGCAGCCAACAGGGAAAATAACCAGAGAGAGTGGAACAGGGATATGCTATTAGGGCGAGGAGCCTTTGAGGAAGATCAAACTCAATACCCTCGCCAGGTTTATGAACAAATTAGCCGCTGTGGCCTCCAGGCCTGGAGACGGCTGGCTGGAAAGGGAGAACATACGGGTCACCTTACAAAAATTATACAAGGGCAGGGAGAGCCATTTTCAGACTTTGTGGCCCGCATGCTTGAGGCCGCTAACAGGATTTTTCCAGATGCTGAGGCGGCTCACCCTCTCATAAAACAATTGATTTTTGAACAGTGCACTAAGGAGTGCTGTGATGTCTTAAGAACTAACAAAAATAGGTCCTTAGAAGAGTGGACACGCCTGTGCCGTGAATTGGGTGGCCACGGCCTAACGCCCAAAGGAAGAATATCATTGGCACTCTTTACCATAAATTTTTTAAACCTTAATCACAATAATCATTCCCCTGCCATGGAGCACAATAACCCGTCCCCGGCCGACAAAGGGCTGGTGAGATGGAAAGATGTCCTTACAGGACAATGGATGGGCCCGGATCCAGTGATTAGCTGGACCCGAGGTGTGGTTTGTGTCTTCCCACAGGAACCAGGCTGCGAACCGCTGTGGGTCCCGAAAAGATTGACGCGAGCAGTAAACTCCCCACCAGTTCCTGATAAAGCACAGGAAGATAAGCCCGCGGACACAAGTCAACTCGACCCTTCTGGGACCGACGCTCAGCGCCCGAGACCATCTACAAACTAAAATGTCTGGTTTGGAGCTTTTTCTATTCTGTGGGTTCCTATTAATCACCCCTGTGATATGCTCAGATTCCACAGAACCACCACAATATCTTTGGGGTCCTTGGCACCACCCGCCCACATTGGCACCTTTTTCGGCGGCCTCGCCCACCTCACCCAGGGTTTATCCTAGTAGGGCTTGTGGTTATCAAATGCTTGTTAGATCGCCTCATACAAACTCAGCAGCAGGTTAAGATCACAGCCATGGCAGCCATGCAAATGGCAGCAGGTGGCCCATCAGGCCAGCAGGCCGCCGCATATCTCCTTCACATTGCAGAACATCAGCTATAAGAGCTGAGTGGGCAAGCCAATGACGGGTAAGACGGGAAAAGCCCTCCCGGTCAACCTAAGACAGGCTCCACTCAGATATACATGGCCTATAAGGCCAGGGGTCCCTTCTGGAGTCAAATTATTGGCATTGAGATGCGAGACCAAGGGTACTGCAGTGCCATCCGCCTCAAAGGTTGGGGGGAAGGCAGGAATGAATGTCTATATGCATCCAGGTTCGGTTCACAAAAGCCTGGCCCTGCGAAAAAATGAACCACTCACCTTGAGCATGGTCCTGGCGCAAGGATATGCACAAAACAGGGTGATGCACAGCAGGGTATAGACCTCTACATTCTCTCATGCCTCAGCCTACAAGGTAGGCCCACTCCTAGGTGTCTAACAGCAACAAGGTCATAGACACCTTGGAGGGACCCACAGACCATCCTATTTTAATAAATAAAAAAGGGGGAGATGTGGGAAGCCGCCTATGATGGCGCCCATTTCCTGCTTCCGGGTTCTTCCCGGCCTGAACAAGCCCGCCAAATTGTCAGGTCTGCCCAGTTACCCGTGACGCTAGCCTATCAGCTTGTTAGGCGCGCTTCTCTGTGATTGGATACTGCTTCCCCTTATAAGAGGTTGTTCCTGCCCCCAACGGGCGGAAGAGGAACCAACGTTGAGGGTGGCGGACCTTGTCAGGTCCGGTTCGCTGTACGTAATAAAGTTTGAGAGCTGATCCTGCTCGAGTTTGGTCTCCTGTCTCCCGCGGCTCCGGTCATAAAGCAGACCAGTGAAGCAACTCATCTATTCGGTGAAGCAATTATTAGGCCAAAAACCTATAATTGGGAGACACATCAGCATTTAAAAACTAATTTATTTAGCATATTCTGCTGTCAAGCCTGATAGTGTTAATTATCAGACTATGACATTATTTTAACTTTGGTTTCTGACAGAGAGTTATTTTGTGGACTCTTTCCCTCACTGGGGCCTTAATAAAGGAAATTCAATGCAGCCCCACTCCCATTAGGCTGGTCTCCTGGTGACAAGGAGAGGAGCTGTGCTGGTGAAGGGGCGATGGCCCCTGAAGTGGTACAGGGTGGAGCTGTTGCCCCAACTCATTAGATAATTTCTCCCTGGGTCAACACACTCTTAACTCACTTGATAAAAAGTGGACAACAGCCCTGGGTGACGCACAGGTCGGAGATACTTGCCCAGTGACCCAGAGGTCCCATTTCAATTACAGAGGCAACTGGGAGTTCCTCACTGGCAAAGAATCGAGTGTTTCCCAAGGGGCAGAATAAAAAACCTGGGTAGCAAACGGTCTTCTATCCCAGACAGGAAACACTATTATCTCCTTAATTCCCAGGCAAAAGTGCATTCTTTGGGTACCATGAGAAAACCTTGTGTCAGGCACACAATTAGTGCCTCAAAGCTCCGGACTTCTGAGCAGGGTTTGATCCCTGTAAAGACAGGGGTGCCCAGCCCTTTGCTGGAACTCAAATCCTGGGAATCATAGCCATTCTCTTCTCTTGAGTGTTCACTATGTGCTGACCATCTTGCATATGGTCTCTCTTTTATGCTTGCAGTAACGCCAAGCTGAGTACTATGAGCATTGCTTTTTTCATGGGGTGACATGGGGATTGAACTCAGAGCCTTTGCACTAAGCTATCTCCTTATTCCATTTTTAAATTTTAAGTTTTCAGGCAGGGTCTTGCTAAGTTACCGAAGCTAGGCTCGAACTTGTGATCTACCTGCCTCAGCCTCTCAGCGTGCTGTGATTTGACTCTTTGACAGTCGAGAGAACTGAAATACAATGAGATTAAATCCCTTGCCTTCGATGACTCCTCTGCTATTGGAATGCAGCCCTCAATGTCCACACTGCATCCTGCCTGGCCTGGTCCAGGCAGGGGCCAGCAGCAGAGCAGCACTGCCTGCTTGTCTGCATTCTGGTTGCTCCTTCAACCAAGTTGCAGGGGTCCAAGGGTCCACGCTCCTTGTCAGGCCAAATGCTTGGAGAGACCACCTCACTGTTCTGCTATTAACTGATCTAAATACGCAGTGACTTCAGTTAACTTCCTCTGAAGAGGACTTGGGCACATCCAGGCTCCTTGAGGCTGAATTTCTCTGCAGCCCTGCAAGCCCTTGGATAACGTCTCCACCTCACCTCTGGTCCTCAATCCCTGTTTGTTGAATGATGAAATGAGACAGTGACCACTAAAAGCTATTCAAGTAGTGATTCCACGCACCCACCTTGGCCACAAATGATCTATTTAATTGATTTTAGTGACTCCACAATAGCTGTTATATTACCTCAGGGCAAAACTACTCATTTCTTGCTTCTAAGACCTAGTAATTTATATGCTGAACATGCAATAATCTATTATATCAAATACTTACTCCTCCTTGGAAAAAAATAGCCTGCTGCCAAGCAGAACAGCCCTAGATACACAGAATAAGTACAGGTGACTTATGAGTTTACACAAAAGAGCCTTCTGTTCTGCATGCAGCTGTTTCAGAGAAACACAGCTAAGAGTACAGAAGGAAGCTAGGTAGGTAAATATTAGGAGAGGCCTTTAAAAGCAGCCTTGATCACTGGGTCCTGAGGATATATTTGTTAGGTAAGGATGTCCTAATGGTGCTTAATATTGATAAAGCGTTCACAGTGCAACAGACAGGCAATGGGCAGGCTGTTTTGCTGAAGATCAGCAAATGGAAACATGATAGGCCAAGCTTGGCCACAGCCCGGGCAGCAAGGGCCGGACTGCAAGTGCAAAGACCCAGCCCTAGAGCCAGGGGCTGCCTGCACAGCAGAGCAGGAACAGGAAGCCTGTGTCTCCCAGCCCTGCGTCCCTGACCATCTCCCACCAGCACTACAGCGAGTAGAAGCATGTTGGGGCAGGCGAATTAAAAGGAGTGAGTGTGGCAGAAGGCACCCAGGCCCTCCTGCCCTTTTCCCTGAGTCTCTCGTGCTACAGCAGGAGTAGCTGCCTCTGCGATGCCCCACTCAGGGTGCTGGACCCAGGGGCTTGTGCTGGTTTGCAGAAGCTGCCTCATCTTTGTTCTTTCCCCCCATGACTCATGGCCCCCTGAGGGTGCTGCTTTGCATACAGAACACCTGTCCCCACGCTCTTCCCAGGCCAAGCAGGAAAATCCCTGGCTCTGCAGTCCGGCCCATCTGGGCTTGAGTCCAAACATTGCTCTTCGCAAACCTGTGACACTGAGCAAGTGCCTGAATGCTGCAGAACTTTAGTTTCCTTCTCTTTAAGACAGCATCACAGGGGTACAGCCGGCTACCCAATCGGGTAGACTAAGAAACTAGCCAAAGGCCTGGCACAGGATAGCACACTCTGTGAATCACCTGTTGCCCTCTTTGTCCCTGTAAGCCGCTCTGTCCTCTGTAGGGGTGTAACTAGGAACAGCTGGGAAATACCTGATGAGGTTTTACTTCATTCCATATGTCTGTGAAATGAATCTTCTGTCCTCGGCACTCCTTCTTTCATTATAAACTCCTTTCCTTTCATCTCTGGAGAAATCTGGAAACCAGAGAATCATCCAGCCTCTCCCAGAAAGCGCCAGTCCTGATCTGGGTGAGGCTACCCCAGAGCAATCTGTGGGGTGACTAACAGAAGCTGGTGGATCCAGAATTCCCCCAGTTAGCACGGTACATCCCAGGGGGCCCCTCATCCCAGCAAACCAGGCTACTGGTCACTCAAACCTTGCGCAAGGCAGCTTTATAGTCAACAGTAAGCTCATCACTTCTCCAGCTTGCAAACAAGAGCAGGTGGCTTCAATCAAAGTCACTAAAAACTCAATATGAAGTTCTGGAATTCCAGGCTGCTCTTATCAGGTAGCAGAAGGTCGCTGAGAGTGGTCCCACATGGACTGTGAACAACACTCTTCCTGCCAGCCCCAGGGAGACAGGAAAGGCAATGGGAGAAATCCAGAAGACACCTGCATCATGGGAGGAGCACCAGAAGCTCTGCAGGCCTGATGCTGAATGACAAGAGAACAAATGCGCGCCCCAAAGCACAGTGCATACAGTACTAACTGACCGGCCTTGCTGACCAGCCCACCCAGATTAACCTTCTCCTCCAAGAGGGGAAGTTCTCTACCTTAGCAACACAGGTGGGCAAAGCCAAGCCATTGGACCCATTCAGATGCCAAGGGAATCCTGACTTGGCTGTGAATTTATAAAGGAGTGCACAAAAGCAATCCACAATGAGAAAGAGCCAGCAGACATAGCAAATAGAAGCATTCTGACCACTGAGAATATCCAAAATTAAGCTAAAAAATAAATACACTTAAAATGATAAATATATAAGGGAATCAAAAGGACAAGAAGCAATGAATTAAGAATCATATCAGGAAATGAATGAAACAGAATTTTTCTGATAAAAATATAAAGATATATTAACCAGTAGACTAAGTAGAAGAGAGAATCAATAAACAGGAAAATGGAGGTGAGGATGAATCGGCTGCAGATACCCTAAACTGCTACATCCAGCAAGTTCCAGCATGAAAAAGCAAGGAAACAGGAGGGAACTGGTAAGACAAGGATGGCAGGATAGGAAATGGCATTCCAGGTCTGGTGAGGATTCCAGAAAAAGAGAAAAAGGCAAAACTCTAAGAAATAAGGGGTAAGTCTTAGCATTGAAAAAAAAATGTAAGCATATGAATTCATTTCACACTACAGTGAAAGTGCAGAAGACACACGGAGACAGAGACAGAGACATGGAGAGATACAGAGATACACACAAGCAAAGATACCAAACAAAACTCTGGGAAAGCACAGATTCTCTTTTTTAAAGAGTAATTTTTAGGCTGATAGCAGTCCTATTTTTCTAGCATGTCATTATAAAATTTTGAAACACAGAGCTGAGTAGACAGAATCAAGAATGGCACATATGTACTTATATAATCGCTAGTTACATAAATTAATATTTTCCCATATCTTATCACATATTTATCCAGTCTTGCAAACTCTTTTAACTCTTGCAAACTTGTCCTCTATTGGCACTGAGCCATCTGGCTAGGGAGAAAGATCATCCTCAGAGTTCAGGACTGAATTCACAAATTGTGACTAAGTAGAGTGGTTCCAGGGCTAAGGAGAAATAAAAAAATTTTTTTGTCTTTTTCGTTTTTTTATCGGTACCAGGGATTGAACTCACGACTGCCTGCTTGCAAGGCAGGTGCTTATGCCACTGAGCTAAATCCCCAGCCCCAGGAGAAATAAATCAATAACAGACAAATATTTTATAAGCATTTAGGAAAAAATCACACCTAACCTAGAATTCTAAACCCAACTAGTCTAGCATTCAAAAGGAAAGGAAAATAATCACTAAAAATGCTTTCACTTTGTTATATTTTATATACATGCATGAGAGAAACTATATAACACACAGGTAAATTGGAACTTTTTCTGGAAATCAAAGACTGAGACTTTATTATTAGTCCATCCTCAGTGCAAGAACCACTAACATATCTCCCCTTAAGAAGGAAAAAATTAAATCTACAAATAAAAAGTGATAACCTAAGAAATTAGAAAGCTTTGGGTAAAAAAAAATAGACAAGGAAATTTGTCAGCTTAGAAGTAAATATAAATAAGAAAAAACAAGACATCTAGTGATAAAAATAACACCTGAAGTATGAAAGTAACAGGCAATTAAAATATTGGACAAACTTATGGGAGTTTAGAAGAAATGATCAGAGTTAAAATGTGTCAGGATTTTTGTTTTA